GACGACGACGACTAAGACTACGACTACTACTATTATCATTGTATTACGATTGTTTTTTTATTGCTGTTCCTAACGTCGGTGAAACGTCTGCCGAGGTTTCTCAGGCAGATAAGTGGTGCTTGCCCGGGCATGATCCAGCCAGTGCAACTTGCTATGATATACTTTAGCATATTACAATATACTACAAAAGGTTATTCTATACTAGTATACTATATACAATTATAGATTATTATATACTAGTATACAATGTACTACAATAGATTCTTATATCTTGATATACTCGTGAACACCAGCATCCTGCATCCTGAGCTCCACTGCCCTACCCCGTAGCTGCTGATGAGGATTTCAGGTGTGTTAAAAACTAATTTCATCTCATGCCCAGGCAGCAGTGAAAGCATTAACTTTTCAAGAGGCAGCGCGCAGAAGACACGACATGTCAGCATAACATGGCTGATCAGAACTGTTCCTCCACTGGCTATTGTTGAAAGGGCTTCCATCCTCCAGTAGTAATAAATATTGACTTCAGCCCCGGGTACTGGTAGTAGTACTGAAGAACATCTAAAACTTGATCACCTCAGGGGCAGGGTCCTTAGGGGGAATGGCTTCATCGACTGCCTCTAAAGCTGAAGAAGACATTCTGCCCACACACGGGTGGTGTGGCACGCATACACTTTGTGCTGGGCAAAGGCTGGGGAAAAGGAACATGGAAACCCTGCGATCGGGTCTGAAACGAATCCTTGTGGCAATGCCTCCCTGAGTTAAGCAAACACGTGCATGAGTTCTGCATGATGATGCAGAAGCCTAGGCTAAGCAGCAGACTTTGGGTCATGAAGCATCACTGGCAGGACCCAGTAATCACTTCACGAAGCATCTTGGCCCAGTCCCCTGCCCGATATCAACCTACCAACCTACTCTCCGCATCATCCTCGTGGTGCCCACTCACCTGTCAAGAGATCAACATTTGTTAAAACACTTTCCAATTATCTGAGATCGGCCAAAATTGCATGGGGTCCTGCGCTACAGCCTGTCATGGCTTCCCACCTGCTGCCTCAACCAGTCACGCAGCGAACGAGGTAGCACACCAGTCCCTGTACAGAGCGGGAAACGACTTCAGGGCTTGCAGGACACAGCTGCAGTTGCTTTCAGCATAAGGTAATGCCGTAAGATTCATGTGGCAGGTTCGTTTGATCTAGCAGTGTATTACCCCAGTTGCAATTCCATTTTCCATTTGCTTTCCCGGGTCATTCTTCATTCTTGGCGAATATATTCCTAGTCCTATACAGCATAACAACCCCAGAAGGAGGGCACTTCTCACAAGGCAAAGCTATTCAAAGCTGCCAAACATCATGTCCTCAAGACCTGCACACTCACGACCCTTCCCCCTAATATCCCCTCACACTAAAAACCCCCTACCCTCCTAATCATCAATATTCCACCAACAGGAGGGCAGCGTCATAAAAATGGCAAGGGATTATACAGGACAATAGGAAGTCCGGAAAGGCATTCTTCGAGATTGGAATCCCCGCAGCATCAAACGGATCACGGGCGCCTCACACGAGCTGTAACTCGGCGTCCTCCTTCTTTGCTCCTGGTTTGTAGAGTTCTGCCTTTGCCGCTGCCTAGATGCTAACAGCATTTTGCTAGCCTTTCTTAGAACTCCTGCAGCGCAAGCCCTGCGAACCGTCGTTGACGATAATGAGCAAGCTTGCGTAATGACGAAGGCGAGGGTAATTCGGAAGACGATGACGAGAAAGATTCAAAAACACACGGCGGTCATTTTTCCGCGCATCATTACGCCGTAATGATGCCACCTATCTCTAAGGTTGCTGCATTTTGTCCGCACGTGCTGTCTAAGATTGCATGTGTAGTCATTCTCTTCATATATGCGCTACGCTCTAACACAACCAAAAAGATATGCGCAACCCCTCTGGCTATGAAAGGCTCTGGTAACCTTGAAGGGCAAGCCTTATGCCGGACTTTACAAAGTTAGGCGATGAAGGAGACAAATGTCTTTGGAAGCCGCCATGCTTGCAATTGCTCCGATGATCGCGCAACATTGTCGGCGTTGGGCCATCGGCTTCTGATTCCGACGAGACCTAAAACTTGACGCTTTAGATTTCATTCAAGTAAAGTTAATTTAAGGAGCCATGGGGCCACGAGCTTGCGTTGTCTGGAACCCCACATTCCAAGGGCGTGCACTTAGTCTGCTCATGCCTGAACCTCAGAAGGGTTAGGTTTCCCTTGGACCCTAGCTGCAAGAGGCGAAATTTGTTGCTCAAAGGGCAATCAAGCAAAACAACTGAGGATGCCAATCAAGTGCCAGATCAGAACATCAACAAAGACCTCAAGGGGGATGTTCCACTAAAAGGCCCTCTATGACCAGCCACCAGAAGGTAGGACTATATCCACACATGCTAAAGTTCATTTATGTTCCCAATCTCTCCCAAACCAACATGGAAACCCTGTTTAGCCCCCTCTGGAAAGTACAAGAGTAGATGTAGGCACCCTTTTGGGGTTTCATGTTAGTAAGAGGGAGAGCAATTCCTACATAACCCTGTAGACCTGGAACCCCTATATGTTCCCATAGAACCCCTTCATATCCCTAGCGACCCCAAGCCTAAGCCCTAAACCCTAATTCATGTAACCCATAGTCCAAACTCCTAGCATTCCCAGAAAAAAAATCCCTATATCATCCTCTAAATAATGCGCTTTTTGAGGAGTTTAAACCCTAAACCCCCAAACCCTAACCCCCAAACCCTGAACCCCCAAACCCTAATTCATATTGTAAAGAATGCCCGCTTTCCATGGATTAGGCCAGTCCTTCCAACTTCTGGGCCAGCCTGCGGAATGAGCTTTTGGGATGTGTCGGGTTTAGAAGTTATAGGGTTTTTGGGTTTATAAGGTTTAGGGCTTTTAGGGCTTATAGGGTTTAGGATTTAAGGTTTAGTGGTAGGATTGATAGTCTGTTTAGGGTTTTAGGGTGTAGGATTTAGGGTCTAGGGTTGGGGTTTTAGGGCATGTCAAATTTTCTATGGTCTCTTTTTGGGGCGCTCTTATAATAGAGCCCCTAACGTATAGGGTACCCAAAAAGGAGACCGGAATCTTAGCAACCCCTCATGCAGGGGTCTGCCGTGAAGGAAAATGCTTGGGTGTGGGTGTGAGGCTTAGGGGGGATCATATGAGGATTATATAGGGTGCAGAGGTTCCAAAAAGTGGGGTCCTTGAGTGGGAGTTCTCCATAGTAAGGATCCTATTTTTGGGGCTCGTTTTGGGGCCCCCTGTTTTCAGGGAAAACTACCACCCAAGCCTAGATTTATTGGAGCCAGGTATAGGCACCGGTATCAGACAGAATTGGAGGCAAAGGCTCAGAGCTTCCTCATGCATTTCCAGGATGGGCTACTACTCGCCTTTCTACCCCTACCTGGGTTCAAACGGGAATTCCGCTTTGCCATGGCAGGGTCGGTTGTAGAACCGTAACGCTGTAGGCCTACCCACTTGGCTGTCTCGCAAGGAAGGGGTATCCCAGTGAACTCTTGCTCTGAATCCGTTAAGCAGAGCCAGACATGTTTGGACATAGCAGACTGGAAGGCCCGTGATAGAGCTGGAGCAGCATACCTTCGCCTTCGACCCATGAGGCACCTTCCAGTTCCTGATCCTTCAGCGGAAGACCGAGTCTGAAATTGCTTGACAAAAGGGTTTGTGTAGTGTAGATGTAGGCATGCATTTGTCGAAAAGATGTAACAATTCCTTTCACTCCCAACTCTTAACTGCTAAGCCCTGCGCCTCTTCTCGTGCCTTTCAATCTCCCGGAGCATGGCCACACCTTCTTCGTATTCGATTGCCTTCAAGGGACATCGGATGCTTCTGAAACGAAGGCAAGGCACTCTAAACAATTCGGATGTATAGAGCTGTAGTGGTGCAACATGCTTTCGGGTCCTCAAGTTCGCTGTTGCAAGTGCGCATTTAGTGTAAAGTTTTGAGACTCCTGGGCAACTTAGTAACCATTCTTGGAACCCCACGCGTGTAACTAGGAATCTCTCAGAGTAATCCTTTAACAGTTCTGCAAACGGACTCCAACGATCCCTTTACGTTCCCCATGTGAATCAACCCCGGCAAGGACCTATGATCGGTGGTAACATCCACATGACCAACGGTGTCAACTTATGGTAAGACGGAAAGCACTCATGAGCATTGGCAAGGTGAGACGGCTAATCGGGTGTCAACAAGTAATGCTGCGAAATACCATAACTAGTACTGGGGTCATTTTCATGGTCTCCCCAGTTGGACACCCTATATATACACTCACCAACATTCCTAAGGAACCAGATTTACGCTCAGCCCAAAACCCATAATAACAACAACCCTGCTTCCCATATCCTCAAAAGCACTGTGTAATCGCAGTTCCCATCAAATCTTCCACGTTCTTTCGATTTGATTCTTCACCATTGGGGTAATATCCTTCCTCAACCCTGAACTCCTTAAACCCTAAGCCCTATAGCCCCCTATACATCCGCTGTAACCCCCTCTTTTAGAGGACCCCCCGTATAATCCACACATGACGCCCGTCCCCTCCCGGGAGCTCAAGCCTCCCTGCGCCGGCGCAGGAAGGCCTCGAACCGGCGGACCTGGGTTCACTGTATTAAGGGATATGGACGTTTCTCAAATTAGGGGTACCTTTTTGGGGGTCCCCATAATAAGGACTATAGTATTTTGGGGTCTATATTGGGGTCCCCCAATTTAAGGAAACTACCATATATATATATATATATGGAGAATCAAATGGAAAATGACATGGAGACTGAAGAGGATCTGCCTCAATACAATTAAACTGGCCTTTGGTTAGCTGGGAATGAAGGAATGGAAAAGAAAATTGAAACTACTATTCAGGTTTGGGGTTTAGGGATTAGAGGGAATGGAAAAGAAAATAAATGGAAACTACTATTCAGGGTTTAGGGTTTAGGGATTAGAGGGAGGGGAAAAGAAAATGGAAACTACTATATAATGGGCTATATAGGGACTACTTTAAGGATCCATTCCTTCGCTCCTAGCTAACCAAGGGCCAGCCAGTTGAGCCCAAACGAAGGATCGTAGGCATACCAAAATGTGCTTATTCAAGGCTTAGGATTCACATAGGGTTTAGGTTTTTCATGGTGTTAGTCTCAGGCCTTTCAAGGCATTCAAACGGATTCTCAAGGGGGCCCGATGAGGGCCGACATAAGGGATGCCTAAACATTCCGGATGTCATCCCGCAGCTTATTTCTTGCACAAAGCCTGCTTGTAAGCAAAGATGGGAAGGTTTCTCCAAAAAGGTGGCCCTAGGGACGGACGACAGGGATCTATTGGAAGTACCAGGGGATTATGGGGGGGAAGTCTCTAGTAGGGATTACATTTTTCAGAATGCGCTTGTCGTCCACATCTTCTCTGTTGCCCTGTTGGTCCCAGACATGAAGATGACTGGCTGGCTTTCTTGCAGTTCATAAGCGCAAACATGACTGATACAAACACCTGGCCTCGCAATGGGCACTCAACCGACAATGCCGCCTCTCAAGACGGGATCTTTTGCGGAAACCAAAAAACTGGATAAACATCACGTGTACCAACCCTCACTGCAATTCCTACATGCCTGATCTCCAAGCTATCCAAACATGTTCCAGAATCAACCCCACACAACCTTTGCACATGCACCAGAATCTCCCTGCCACCGAACCCTGATTCTGATTGAACCCTGAAGCAATTGTTAACCTTGATATAAGCAATGTATGGCAAGTTGCCGCTTCTGCGAGACCAAATCTTAGCAGGCAAAATCAGGAAAGACAGGTTTTGGGTGTAGGATTTCTGCTTGGTATTTGATGGGCTGGGTTCAGGGTTCACGGTTTAGGGTTCACAGTCATTGCAACCAAAAGCAGAACCAGATAGGAATCAAAAAACGCCTCTGAACAGAAATCCTGTACAAGTCCTGGCTCGCTAAACGCAGAGTTGAATATTGGATATGGCTCAGCCCATTTTGCCAATGAGGGTTTGGCGGTCCTATGTGGGCGGGCTGAAAATGTAAGAGACAAAGCGCTAAACATCGCGCGATTGCTCGGTACGGGCTTTAGGTTCGAGACCTTTAGAAACTGAGCGCGGCCTTTGTGCCAGTTGCTCTTCACTTGTGCCAAAGGGGTTGGCCTGAATGTACTGGCACAGCATATCCTGTAGGCAAACCAATTTTTCAGCTGTTGTCACAGACGCCAAATGCCAAATGCATGCACTCAATGCCGAGGAGGACCGCCCGAAAGCTGCCTAGCTCAGAGCATCCAAGAAAAGAGCTCTTGGGCTCATTCGCATGTTCTCTTATTCCGGAGGGCCTGCATGACATGACTGGTACTGACCGCAAGGCTTGTATGTATAAGTGAATAAGCGAAATGTGATTTAAGGACTTTCCAACAACAGTCAAGAACAGTCTCAGGCGGGTAATTACCAAATAGGACTCCTTTTAAGGTACACGCCTGGAAATTGGGTTCCGGCCGATATTAATGCGCCCGAAGAAGTACGACAATCCTCAAAAGCAACCTAGGATCCCCAAAGAAGGATCCCTACCTGTGTACATTTCGTGTTCCAAGCTCAATTCCGAAGCCCGAAAATGTTCATACCTACATGGTAGGCCCTGCATAGTACACGTAGCAGCTTCCCTTTCGCCTTCCCTATTCTTTTCCATTTGAGATTCCATCATTGAGGGTACTACTCCCAAACCCTAGATATTCCCATGGAGTCCATATGTAAATCCCTTAGACCAAGAAATAAACCTCAGCTCTTAGCTTTCGCAGGTAAACAATCAGAAGCTCCAGTCTTCTAAACCGCCGCGCTGCTTGAAAAAGCTGACCAAGCCGAAGTTAAGAAACACTTGCCCGATACCTGGGACTTGTTGCTTAAGACCCCAAACCCTACACCATTATAGGGCTCAGGGATCTACAGGTTCTAGGAGCTCTTATCCCCGACTCTCAGCGCATTTGTTGTCGTAGAAAAAGGGCTACTGGGTCATGTAGTTTGAGGAGCGGTGGAAACACAACGTTTTTCAGGTCTGGGGCCACACTTTCATACGGCAGGTACTGGAAATCGAGCATGTAACTATTTGATTTGTTGATGCCTTGTTCTGGGGTGCCCTTATATGCGCCTATCAAGCTGCTCCGAAACCTGAGCCCAGTACTTTGACATGGGCCGACTTGGACTTGCACATGCTTATCCCATGCGAGCCCAGGCTCGTGCGGGGTGAGTGATATGACTTGTGCTTCGTTCCCACTTCCCACCCCACAAAAACACAAAGAGCCGTCCTCGCTGGGGAAAACCCTTTTGAGAATGCAGAGCTCTAGATGACCTAGCAATCACAATTAGGACCTTTGGCCCATACCACTCAACTTAAGCACGCTGCAGAAAAGTTCTTGAAAGTCAGCCAGGATGCTTGGAGTGATTTCTGCTGTGACATGAAAATTTGGACTCCCCAGCTGGGCCCGAAACTTTCTGATCGGGAACATTTGAGTGGTTCAACTGCTGGGTAGATTTGTTGCGCGTGGACCCCTTTTGTGGGGGTCTGAAAACACGCGCTCTGGAGGAAAGCAAGCAGTCGACCATGACTTCTGGCCAACAAATTGCCACATGCTGATTTTGCACGCCATCCTTAATCACAGCGCGCACCTCTCCTTAAACCCCAAACCCTTCATGACGAGCGGCCCAAGATCCAGGTGTTATCCGGGAACTCATCATACAGGTCCTTGCGCTTCTCCATGCGAAACTTGCTTGTTTGATAGAGGCTCCAACAAGAAAACGGGATGCAGTGAGAATCAGAGCTCTCAAATGAACATGCGGCCGATGCAATCCTCGCATTCTCTTGGCATGACCCCTGTCTGATCTGAATGCTCAGCATCGGGAAGCCATCTGTATGCTAAAAGGCACCATGCAATGTGAAGAGCAGTCTGATGATCTAGGACGGCTAGCACATAGGATGATCTGATAGCAAGCCTCTAGTAAGCTTGGGACGAACACTTCGCAGGGCTTGTCAACAGGGAAAGGTCCTCGAAGCTCACACCCATTGACCCAAGCACGAAAGCCTGAAACACTGAACCACATTCCCGTCAGGTGGCAGACCCCGATCCCCTTACTCTTGAGGTGCGGCAAAAGGACACTGGTCACGAAACCAACAACGGCGACAAACCTTGTCAAAGGGGGGCCAAGAGGGGACCCAAGCCTTCCAAGCCCTACGATACGAGGCAAGATTTGCTTCTTAGCAGTTTGTATTGAGAGGATCGGCCTCCATTTGTTAGGACCCCACCCCTACATGTTCCGTACAGTTCCTTATTCTTGGCATACCTTCCGTTTCCATCAGGGCCAAAACACTGGTCGGGCGCAAAATCAAAATACTCTGCGAGGGGGACATGTCACTAGTATGCCTTAGGGTGCCTGATTCGAGCTGCCGGTTTGCTGAGGATTCTGCTTTCTGTGGGGACAGCGTTTGGATAGTGAACCCTCTCTCTCCATTACAACGCCTGTCCGCACGTCCGCGCAGGGGTTCAGCATCAAGCCTTTTGGTTCAGCAGTCCCAGGCTCACCATGGACAAATAGAATGTAATGTTATATAGGCTTCGGGCTATTTAAGGGCTGGTTGGGTTACGCAAAGATGCTACCCCAAGAATGGTGCGTCAGATGGAAGATGAAATGGAAAACAAAGTGGAAACTTGGACATGGAGCTTAATAGGGATGTACCAGCCTGCATAACTGCAAGATTTCCAAGGCCAAAGGAAGCACCCTGTACCACAGTTCTCCAAGAAGTCTAGAACCATAATACTGGCAATTTATCTACGCTTCTGCACTACCCGTGGCCACGCCCCAGAATGATGGTGAACCCTCGGCTGTTAGGTTGGCGTTCAATCCGAGGGTGGACAAGGCTTCAAGTTTTGAAGGATAATAACATCTTGCGCTATGTGGGCGTTCCATGGAATATAGATGCAAAGAGGCCCCTACTATAACACCACATTTTCTACTACTTAATCGGAAACAGGCCGGGCCGCTTGATGAAGTTGTTCAGCGCAGGACCAGTCAAGTCCTCCAAGGGTCCACCTTTGCACCCGCACATGTGAACATGCAGAGGTAACTAGGCAACTACTAATGTTTTGAGTGGAACTTGACTACGAAGATGCATACGTTTGGCTTGCTGGGCTTAGCTTTTAGCATGTCCTGGGGCCTTTGCTGCGGCAATGCTTTCAAGGTCCGGGCTTTTGAGGCTTGTGGTATGTAAAGCAATTCCTGCTTCCAGCAAAGTCGGAGAAAGCACAGCGTTTGGGACAAGACTACGGATCCAGGACCCAATGAGACCACAACTTCACCTACATTCGATGAGGCCCTTTTCAACATTGTTACCCTCTTGGAGGAATTCTCCGCCGAATAATCACATGAACACAACTTTGACACCCCCTAACCCTTGAAACATCGGTTTTGATGACACCCCTTTGCACTGCAAGAGCGTACATACAGCCAATGCCCAGCATGACAATTGCATGTCTCTCAGTGGGCCACCGATCTGCTCACCAATACCAAGAGTGTCGTACCTGCGCAGTGGCATTCTCCCAGTGCCCTACCACCTCACTGAACATAGGGACTCCAATGCAAAGCACACGCCAAGGCTGCAGACAGGTTTGTTGCACCACTCCGGCTGACAGGATTTTGTGGTCTACCAAACTCGGGATTTAGTGTTTGGGGGAACTTAGGCGAACTTGAGGGTTTTGGGGTTTGCGGGTTCAGGGGGTCTTGGTTTTAGGGTCGAGGACTTAAGGATTTAGGGCATTTGGGTTCGGGGGATGATTAGGGTATTAGGGCCCAGGGGTTGGTCTGTGAGCGTGTTTGAACCCTTGACACGCTCTTATGTCATTGGCTTTTTGCGGCTCTCCGGTTAAACATGCATAAAAGCGCACCGAGTGTCACTGCATACTTTGAGACGCAACCAGGCTTCGCTAGACCAACTAAAGGCTCAGACTGGCAACTATCAAGTGAACAAAAGATCACCCATCAGTAGCCAGCATGAAAATTGCTTTGAAGCTTTAACTCTAAGAACTTGTAGTTCTTGGTCTCTGCCTTGTTTTTCAAATGAAGCAGGTCTGAGGCCGCGGCTGCGGGCTGTTTGTTCCAACGACTTCACCCTGCTTGTCCTGCATTGTAGGGATTTCCGCTAAAACTGTCCGGGCCTGACGATTGAGATGGATTGAGTTTGCGCAGACCCTGGCTTGAGGCATTGCTGGCTCAAACTTCTCTACACGCAGGTCTGGAGAGCCTTCGGCTGGAAGACGAAACTTCAAACCTGGGGTTCGTGACTTTGCGTCGGCATTCATGAGCCTTAAACGAAGTCTGCAAATAACTTTCACCTCCCCACAGATGACAACCAACCATAGGAAGGGATCGTCTTGATTCAGACCTCCAAGGGTGCACATAAATACCTTTAGCTACTGCCACATGAGCTTTAATAATGGCTCGTTGCCATCCCGGGCCATCCGTGTCCCCACCCACCCACCCCACCGGTATCCTTCAGCATGCCGAAGAGTACCTTGGGCTGTCAAGGCCAGCGCTATGCAGATTCTAAGCTCCAAGGGTTCTGCAACCCAATCTTACTGCGGCAGATCTCTACATGCATATACAAACACGCGCGTATACACACGTGTGTGTGTATATATATATATATAATATGTCTGTATGTGTGTGTGCGCATGCACAGGGGCCATGTCAATCGAAACGAACGTGTGAAAGTTCTGGCAGGTGTTAGCCTATTTTGGCCTACATCTCACGAAGACTCAAACAACAAAATGATGCGGACAGCATTGCTTTTGCCCAGCTTGATGTCTCAAACTGAAAAGCTGTGATCGCGTTACAAAGCTGGAATAATGGAGAACCCCTTTAAAGTGCTATCCAGTGGCATACTTCCTCGCAGCATCCTCAGTGGTGTCAAACTTGAGGTATTCTGGACGGATCTAGCAATCTGCCGTCATCGAACGCAGGACTCTGTCCACAAACAAGTACTCCTCAGTACCAATCCTTTTCATGCGCTCGCGTGTCTCAAGTGCAAAGCCGGCAAAGCTATCTGACAAGGCAAGGCTCCCATGCTTGGCCCGAGTTGATGAGGAACATGTTCCTGGAACAAGCAAGCTGAAAGCCTAATAGATGTCTGCACGACCATGAAGCACTAGTGATGTTTCAATGGCCATGTAGATTTCAGGGTGCCGCAAGCATCTGCAACATCTGTAGGTGTGCGTGATTTAAATGCCGTGGGTAATCTCATGTCCAAGTGGGCTTGTCAGACCACAGTGCTTCCCATGTTCCTTCCATACATGACAGCGCATGCCACATCACCCAACGCGTGCGTGGTGTCTCACCTTTCAGGCCGATGACCCAAATATCCAACACCCAGTTTGAGGCGTGTCTCTTGCGGCGTTGCTCTCCGTGTGGCTGTGGCTTCTGCCCGCAGCACGTGTTCAGCAAGCTTTCCTACTACCTGTATCGCTTCCACAGTGTACACGCTCCAAACGTCTCTATTTCCTTCAACATGGACATCGACGGTGTTAGAACCGTCGTCGGCGTGGCAGCAAAGCATTAACTTGAACTTCTACATGACCCATGGTTTTGTGTATGGTTTTTGAAATGGAAAGTCCTGCGTACACTCACCAACAGCATCATAAACACTGTACAGCATGCCTGCCGCCTGGAGAGGCATGGCAGCCATGATCCGACCCTGCACACCGCCCTCACTCAAACAAACCTGGAAAACATGAATCAACAACCCTTTACGCACCAGAACTCTCTTCTGCGGCATCAGAGATGAGCATGCATGGAGGGTAGAACCTCAAATCATGTCTGTTTACAAAGCCGCCGTTTCGCGCCAGGCAGCAGGGAGAAGCAAACGGAGTTGCCGCCGCTGACCAGCATCAACAGGCCCTTGAAGCCTAAAAGTTGGCCTGGGAAGACGCTTGTCGGCTCTGACAAGGAAGTAGGGTTTATATAGGGTTCATATAGGGGTTATATAGGGATAATGCAAAAGAAAATGGAAACTACTCAATTAGATAGGGTTATATGGGGGTATCATAAGGTAGGAGGTGCAGAGTTTCAGGATGGCTTAGACTGGAACTGCTTCATTGGAGACTGCGAGGGGTATGGGTATACAGATTTCGGCAACCGTGCCTCCTGGAATCCCTTGTTGCTTATCATTATTATGTGGTGCGTGCCCTTGCTCATGGGTCCCCATGCTACCCCTTCGAATTTTCTTGATAAACCCTAAATTGAAAACCTTGGGGGAGGGGGAGGCGTAGTAGAGGCGGGGCGATAGGAAACCGCAGTTATCCTGCAAGGGATAGGGTGCCTTGTACCCCGAATGCCTAGCTCATGATGCTGGTGCCAGATTCTACTAACCTCACCCAATATCACCCAATATGTAACCTGCAAAGCCGAGAGCCCTACATCCCCGATCGGAAAGCCCCTAGAATCCCTCGAACCTCCAAACACAAAGGCAACCCTTTACAACCTGGACAACCACGCAAGCCCTGTCCTTGCAATTGTAATGATCTTTCACAATCCGAATACTCAAGCCCTATACCTCAAAGCCTGAAGCCCTACAACTTCAAGCCTCGTGTCCTAGACCTTGAGACCTCATCCTAAATCCTAAGCCCCAAATCTAACCTTGAACAATGCTTGGAGCACCATGGGTAGTTTCCAATAGGGTCACAAGCGGGGATACCTATGATCATAAGTCATAAGCCAATTTGGGGGGATACTTGAAACCTGGCATATGACTACCCATGAACCTTCGAGTATAATACAGCCATAAACTTTTTAGGAACGCTGGGAAGCATCCCATTACAGACGTTTAACTTTCTCACAACAAGACCCCTTCTCATAAAGTCTAAAATGCTTCGGTTCACATGCTTACCCCAAACCCTGAACCCTAAACCCCAAACCAAAAACCACGACCAGGCTGCCAATGACGAGCGGTGCTGCGAAGGTCTGGCACATGGGCGAAAATGTCAACCTCAGTCTCCAAGTCCAAAACTCTTGGGGTGTTCCAACTACTGACAGGGGTTCTTCAAACAAGGGGCTATGGGGGTTACTTAGGGGTATGCAGGGGCCTTGTCAAGAGATAGAGGGATTGGTGAGGTTGAGGCTTGCTGAAATTTGGCTCCCCATATTAAGGCTCATAACGTTTTGAGGCTCCCTTCATTGATGGAAGCTACCTTTTACGAGTGCTCACCTGACAATTCCTCTGGACAGCAGTGATGGAGTGATCACGGGAGTATTCAAGAGGCATGGGGGATTCATGATGTTCTGGGCCTGTTTTGAGAAACTGCTGCGTGGGTCGTGGGAGCTTTGTGTGTGGCTTGGGAGGGTTTCATGAGCTCTCACGTGGTGTATACTAAGCTTCCAGGGGGTTTACGTGGCTTACTTACAAGCTGAGCAGCCATTGGATATGTATAATGTACTTCAAGCAATCGAACCTTCCAGAGAGAGTTATGAGCTTCCGAAAAGGTTCGCGATGAGGAAGGGTGGATGGTATAGGCTTCAGAGCTCAGGGTAATGTAGGCCCCTATTGAAAAAACCCTCCCCTTAATAGGGACTATAGTAGGGACCCAAAAATTAAGGCCCTTAAAAGGACGGGGTTTACTAAACAGGGGTCTACATTAAGCATCCATGTGAATCAGTGGGCGGAACCTCTCAGCACATAACTTTCAGGACAAGCCAAACCAAAGCAGCAGACCCTTCTCAGAAGCGTCTAGGATGCTATGCTGAGGATCCTGTGCTTGTGGCGCGTTCGAATAGGTTGAGGCTGAAGGGGTAGTCTCGAGTTTTATCAGGCTTGGGGCAGGGCAGGTTGATTGAAGGTCGTATGAAGAAGCAAATGATCCGGCTTATCAACTCCTCGTGGCTCTACCTAATCTTTTTGATCCCAAACGGAAGATGCCACAAGCAACAGTACAAGGAGACCTGCTGGAATAGTAAAGATGGTCTAGTGCAAGGCGGAGTATAACGCCTCAGGCTGGTTTCCACAAGGTTTCGAGACGGAAGCTCACATGAAAGGGTGGGTCTCGGTCAGTTGACAAGTAGTCCACTCGCCTAGAAGCGTGAAGCAGGCCCCACCGCTGACCTAGTTTAGATGACGTTGTTCGCGCAACTACTGTATATTCGCTGGAAATTTGCCCAACATTTCAGCCCAGATTCATCATGACTTGCTCCAAGGTTGGACTGCCCGATGAAGGGTTTCCGCAATTCTCCCTCACACGCCCTCAATCCCTCCACATTCGCCCCCAACGGAGTAATTGTCTGAGACGAGGGGTATAGAAAGAGGCGCTTGAGATAATGTCCCTCTTGGTGCTGGGATGGTCTGCGAGATTAGTCTGCAAACAACTCCTGGGGCTTGGGCTGGAAGGACTCGATCGCCGCAAAGCCAGTCAAGGTCTGCGGACAAAAGAATTGTATCCCATAATTCATGGGCTGAACTGCGCCCAACAACAGAGTTGCGCGCGTCAATGTTACACGGGCCGGACTCTCTTCAGTTCAGGCTGTGGGGCTCTCAGACTTTAGCGGCTCTTCCTCGGGTGGTGGAGCAGGATTGAGAATTTGACTCACAAGTGGCTCCTTTTGGGTGGCCTGAGAACGGAACAAGATGTGCCTTACAGGGTATGGAAACTCCTGATCCTGCCTCGATGGCGAAATTGTTGTGAAGAAACATATCTGCCGCTACCCCAAGACCCCGTTTACAAGTGGGACCTAGCCGCGCTGTGTCTTGTAGGCCTGAGGACCACGCCTTGGGGGTTGCAGTCCCATTTTAACGTATATTCCTATTTAGATGGCAACGCTATACCTCTACTCCTTGCAAGGATGGACCTCCATTGGCAGGGCCAATGCAAGGGCCTATACCAGTACCATATCGAAGGCACCTACATAAACCCAGCTTCCATTTCATTATTCATGCTCTTTTCCTTGTTCGTTACTCCTATAGGTACTTGGAGGGTCAGGGAGACTTAATAAGTAGGTTAATAATGGGAATAATTAAGGCCACGGTATGGGTTATACGGGTTATTAATACCTACTTAGTAAGCCCCCTTGACCCTCCAAGTAGCCATTTGGGCCCCCATGGTAAGGCTTTTAGCTTGGCTTGGCTGGGAGAAGCCCGGAGTGGACCCTGCACGCCGAAGCCTGAACCCGGATGGCTTTACCTTCAGGGATGTGTAACGAAACCTCAGGCACTTCACCCCAGAGCTTAGATCTGCAGTCTTCCAGTTCTGCAGGTTAGACGGCTACCTTCTTGAGCAGAACCATTAAGAATCAAAGCCATCTGCGCATCTGGGCCGTTACAGCCTGCCAGCCTCAGAAATGGGGATAACGTCTCCTTTCCCGCTTCTAGCCCACTCAAATCGCCCGCAGACTCTCGCTCTGGCCCTGTTCAAAACTGAAGCCTTCAGCGGGATGATGTGTGTAGCCGGAAAGCCTTTGCTAGCAACGGGCTGCTTAGAGCCTGCTAGGGGAAGTATGGGCCAGCATTGGGAAGTTTCAAGAGCCTGTATTCCTGTGTATGTACCAGATACACCACAACCCCCATTCTAATACAGACTCCTAGTTGTTGGAAAGCTGCTTTGCATAACCTTAGGTTTGAGGTACGGCCTCCTGATCCTCTAATTTTCGCATATGATGTTGGGAGTCTAGGCTTTGGGTCCGCAGCAACAGGGCCTAGGGTTCCCCTAAAGGTCCCAGATGCTTGGTATACAAAATTGGTGCAAGGGAGATGCTATCTCCAGCCCATGCGCACTCTTGTAGGTTCTGTCAAGACAGCACTGCGTTTTCTGCTGGATAATTGATGCGTCACAACATTCATGGTCGTACAAGTTGGGTTCCTACCATAGACCCTGAACTCGTGATTTGAGGTTGTCAGGATTCATGAGATATTCATTGCTTGGGCTCCATGGTCCGGAAACTGTTCAACGCCACACTTTGAACAACAGCCTTTGGGCCCTTGCATGTTTGCGGGCAGCCGAGCAAAGGATGGTTTAAGGTTGAAGGCTCATTCTGGGAAACACTGAGGTCACGGTTTCACTTTGCGTTGTCGTAACCGTACTTGGACTGCTTGGGGTTTCCGTCAGTCAGTGCTCC